TAGATATTTACCTACTAATAAAAAATAAGAGCATAATGTTATACAATAATTTAAGTATTGAATAGCTAAATTTAAAGGTAATACATATTTTATATAATTGTAATTGCGCGAATCTTTGTTATGCTTGTGGATATTTACATATAGAAGTTGTTTCATTTTATAAAAAATATGAGTTAATACACGATATTAACTTGAAATTTGTATTAATCAAAGAATTCCCTTATTTAGGTACGAATACAAAAACTTAAAACCATATTAAAATTAACAAAATGCTTTTTATAGTTTCAATTGTATATTAACTTTATGTTCAACACTTTAAATTTTATTTATTTATTTTATTTATTTATTTATTATTTTTGATAAATATTTATTGTTTTTGTAAAACGACCCTTTTTCAATTGCTTCAAAGATAAACAAACAAAAATTGTCTACTCGATTTAGTTTCATTATTTATATTTAAACGACAACTTCCTCATATATTCGTAAATTATTAATTGCTCAATACTCATTGTTTTTGTAACATTATACTATTTCAATTGCACAAGGATAAACAAAAGAATTGTCTACTTGAATTAAGTTTCATTATTTTTATTTTTATGACAACTACCTCATATATTCGTAAATAAAAAACGTTAAATCATTCTTAGGTTTTTTTTATGAGAACGACCTTTAAAATTTGTGATACTAACATTTCATATAAATTTACAAAGATGTTATTAAGCATTAAATAAGAGCGTTGTTATTAATTACTGCAAATTGCTTTGTATATTTTCAATTTAATAATTATATGCTGTTGCTGTTGTTTTTTGTTTACAGTTCAGTTTTAAATAAAACATTTTGAAGAAGAAAGACTTTGTCTTATTTAAAGGAAAATAGTTTTTATCTTTATTTTTAACCCATATTTTGATAGGTTGGTCTCTACCTCGTCCGTAAAGGATGCGTAAAAGGTTAATCTTACGTTATATTAAAGTATTGTAAAGACAGACAGCTGACAACTAACATATTTAAATGATTAAGAAAGTCATTACTTTTGTTTAGTTTAATGTTTAAATGCTACAACATTATATTGCATCATGCTGATCATGCCCTGCAGGGATGGCTGGTAATAACGGATCAGAATTGATTTTAATATGGTTGTTGGTTTAATGATAAGCTTTTTTTAAAATGATTATCGAAGCATGTTTTCCAGGGTTTTATAATGAGTAAATAACCATTAGAAAGTTTACATTTCATTTTTAAATTCGAGCGGGAAATGAAAAGTATTTCTTTGGCTTTATTCAATGTATAAGTGATAAAATTAAGTTGTCCCTGTGTCATTGTTGAATTATATAAAGTACGAAAACATATGATTAAGTAAGTTGACGGATAAAGAGTAAAAACTTTTTTTAAATTTATATTATAAATTAGCGGACAAATATTAACTCGTTTGTCACGACTTGATGAACAAAATCGGAAAAACTACCTGGGTAGTCGATAGATAAGGTCAGCTACCCGGACAGGCATATTAACTCGTTCGTCATGACCTGATGAACAAAATCGGAAAAACTAGCTGGGTAGTCTAATACTGGTTGTTCATTGAGGTTCACCTGCTAAATTGTCAGAAGTCAATGTATGATAATATAAGGTCAAACACAAGTCACCAATAAGACCTCTAATAAGTATTTATAATATGGTACATTATATTTCTAAAGCTATTTTATGGAATAAAGTGATTTTATTTTAAAGTGGGTTTATATATATAAATAAACTATGAATTTTGTAGGGTTTTATTATTGAATAGCACTACATTATCTTTCTAATAGGTAATATCAATGGTTTACAACACTAACAATTGCAAAAAAAAAAAATCTTGTTTGTTTCCCCTCCTTTTCTAAAATGATTATAGGAGCTTCTTTCCAGGGTTTTATAGTGAGCAAATAACAATTAGAAAGTTTACATTTCACTTTTAAATTCGAGCGAGAAATAGAAAGTATTTCTATATCTTTATTCAATGTAAAATTGATGAAATCAAGTTGTGCCTGTGTCATTGTTAAATTAAATAAAGTACCCTAATTGAAAACATGTGATTAAGTAAAAACTTTTTATAAATATACATTATAAATTGACGGAAAATATTAACTCATTCGTCATGACCTGATGAACAAAATCGGAAAAACTAGCTGGGCAGTCGATGTTTAAGTTGACGGAAAATATTAACTCGCTCGTCATCGCCTGATGAACAAAATCGGAAAATCTAGCTGGGTCGATGGTTAAGGTCAGCTACGTGGACAAACATCTGGGCAGTCAGCGGATAGGCTCATTAAGGGGCATCAGATAAGGCCATCAAAAGGTCACCGGATCAACGGAACCCCAGTTTTCTACTACTCATCGGCACCGTCTGATCATGGTTAGCACTGATAAATTTTCAGTCAATATATACTTATCTAGATATTTTCCTTTAAAATGATGTATGATTTTGTTTCGGCTGAAAGCTAGACACGCCCATTTATAATTTAGGTTAAAAGAACATAAACTTAGACCTACAATAACATATTTTGGTTGGCTCCGACGTAAATGACGTTGACGTCATTTCATAAAACAAAAGTATTGTCACTCTATAATACTGTCTTTCAATGATCGTCTTTCAATAGCTTTTATTTATAGATTTTTTTTTAAATTTTGCTTGTTTTTCTCAATAACGCTCTAATACTGGCCGCTAATTTAGACTTCATGAGCTATTTACCTCTTTTGACTTGAACCGCATTTAACGTTTTCGGTGAAAAGTTTATGTCATAATCGATAAATTTGGTAAATTCATCTTGATTTTCTGATGACAGCAGGAAACTCGTGACTATACCTCAATGTTAAAAATATATCGCCGCCGGCAACTCGATGATTTCCCGACGAACTATCCAATCATTTAACTTTCTAATGATATGAAATTATAGATATTGATATTATTTTTTGACCGTCTTAAGTGAATTGTGGATAAAGATAAAATACTATAGTCAAGTCAAGTCAAAAGATTTATTCAGTAAATAAAGGCCACCGGCCCAAAATACATGTCATACAAAATATGATATTTAACATTATAAGGTTGTGTCTTTTACAAGTTTTGACAATCATTACATTTAAATGCTACTGTGCTATAGATATCATGAGGTGGTAAATATAAGTAGAGATTTTCTTAATTATAAAAATATCATTTGATGAGAGTAGTTCATAAAAGTTATGTAATTCATTTCCGGAATTATACCAGTTTAGTAAATAGGTATTTCTAATTTCTAAATATTTTTTACAATGAAAAAAAGCATGATATTCACAGTCAATATGATAAGTTAAATGATTTTCAAGACAAAAGTTGCAAAAGCGTTCTTGAAAAGGTATATTTAAATGCCTACCGATTTCAACATTAAGTTTGTGATTTGAACATCGAAATTTAGCATATGCTTTCTTATGTTTTACAGGGATTTCTATAAGAAGATACCGTTCTACATTTAATAAGCTTTTAAAATTACTGCGTAATTTATTACATGTCTGTTTGTTCGTTAAATATTGACTGCGGAATTTGGAACGTTCTAAAAGATTTACTTAAACAACGTAAAATTAAAAACGTCAATATTTTGCTTAACGGATGAAAATGAAATGACTAACAGTAACAACAAGTTACAACATCTTAAATTATAATAACAACGATAAACAAATTTGAAAAAAAAGCTAGAAAACAGAAAACATAACGTTACTAATTCTTAGATAAAACAAAGAAAAGTATTTGGATTAATTCGACATTCAGTAAAAAAAAGATATTTTCAAATCAGTTACTAGTTGAATTAAAAATGAAGTTTATGAAATCGTGCTAAACTAAACACATAAAATCAAACACTTAAGGACGCTGCGTAAACAATGGAACCAATTGCACTGGCAAGAAAGGGTAAAAAGAAGAAAGGAAAGGAAAACAAGGACGAAAATACTGATGAAAATATAAAGAAAAGACCGGAAAGAAACGATTTTCCACGGTTTCCAACTTAAGTTGATATAATGTTGGAAATAGTGGGCAGAAATGTAGATCTTATACAAACTTGTACAATGGGTAAAAAAAGTAATCAATTTTTACCATCAGTCTTATAGCCTGTGTTAAATTTGTGCTTGGTACATATAGTGATTGATAAATCTTCTCAAACACTTATTTAAGATAGTATTTCGGATTGAAATATTTTCCCGAAATTTGTGTATCATTTGATGTAAGTTAGGTGTAATAATTTCCGTGCAAATTCTCAAATCATTCTTTTACGCAGTTTTTAGCAAGAATCAACAAAAACAACCGATATTCTATGTAATACTGATTATATTTCTTAATTATTCTTTTACAGAACTTTTTTTCCAGTTTAAGGGATTCACAGTGTTACATTTGACAAGACTTTAAGTTTCATTTTGAAATATACAAACTATACAAACGATGTTAATCTTTTTCCCGCCTAAAAACAAAAACATAACAAACATTTACATGACAACTGTAAAACATTTCCGTTGAAAATAGGGACGTGTCCCATGCAAAACAGTAGTTCTGGTACACTTAAAATAAATGTAAAGTTAATTATGCGTGTTTTGGACCAAATTACATGTTTTTATTATATAAGAGAAAATGAAATTCATTTAGGATATATGATTGAGTCTACATTATTTTGTATTTATTATCTATTATCAGTTATTACACTGTTTGACATACTGCAAGTTACCAAAGTCCCATGTACTGTAACATTATTATTTCTGTAAATGAAATCCATATAAACAAAATACATGTAATTATTTTTAATAGTTATTGTCAAGGTAAATAGTGTCGTGTTCCTTCGAGAGATTTCGCGAGATGTTACGTCTGGACAGACGTGCATATATTACTGATCATCTTATTATTTGAAAACAATGTACGTGCACGTCCCTGCAGTGAAAATTTATACACCGACCTCCACCCAAACTTTAGAACAAGCATAGCTTTTCAAACACTATTTTTGTTCTATCTTCAGACATAAGGGGACGGGACAGGACGTGTTGTAACTCAGCTAGCAGATGTTTTGATGATGTGAAAGGAGTTGTTGATGAGTTAGTCAACACACCAGTAGATGCTTTCTCTCGCATGTCGGCATGCAGGTTAAATATCATATTCATTTTAATTATATAAAAGTAATATCCACATGGTGTTTAGTGTTAACACATTGTCATAACTCTGAACATCTGTTTAATTATGTTATATCTTAATACAAAGCTACGTTTTTGTTGTTAAATCAAAGTAACAAGTGTCAATTTAAATAAGCCTTTCACTTTTAGCTATGTTACGCACGTCTAGTTTTATATTAAAATATCTACACCAATAATACACTCATATCATATAACTGATGTAAATGGATCGTTTGTTACCTGTTTTCTATCTTTCAACTGTTCATCATGCAAAAATACTTTGAAAATGTACCAATCCCTGTTTATATGCAAAGAAATAAAATACATGGCTTTTATAGTTCATTAATATGCCTGAAGGTATAAAAACTTAACTAATAATATCTAAATGTACAAATGTTTATTAAATCCGTAAAACTCGTTTGAATTTGATCTTGGACGAACATATCAGTATTTTTAATTTATTTAGAAAGCAGTTGAGGTGACACAGATATTTATTATTTTCATTGCTAGTTAAATATTTATTAGGCGCTGGAAAAAGGCGAAATATCCCAAAGTTTTCCGAACTTTAGATCAATGTAATACTTAAAGTTTGAGTCACATATATGGTCTCAGAGTCGGTATGGTCTTAACTTTTACTTTTCAGAAAAGTAAGCGCAGAGTTGAAAAGAGACAAAGTTTGTGTTCAGCGTTCACTATCTCGCTGTGGCGGCCCGGACAGGATCATCTTACAGAGAAGGTTCGATAACCGTGTAGACAGACTGTATAACCAGTTTTATAAACACTGTAGCATACGTCCAACAAATACATCATCAACCACCACCCAAATAACGCCAACTACAACACTAGGAGGTTCCAGGATTTCTGGTATGTACTGTATGCTAAATTCCCCATCATTCTAGTACAAGTAAACAGGGAACCGTGTTTTTTTATTTATTAAAAGCGATTGGTGTTACATGTATTTGTTAATATTGTATTATTTCACACTGAACCATAAAACCATTTATAGATGGAAATAAATTGTGTTGCAATTTATAAATGACGTCACTAGTAGTTTGTAACCAGTCTTTTAACTGAACAATATCTGTCAGTTACCTCAAAGATACTTTTAAGTCGCCTTTTCTTTGCTGTTTATTACATTGTTTTCCAAAAAATTAAAGAATTCTTTTGCATGTGTGTTCACGTTGGAACATTTGTAAACGCTGCCATAGAATTTTATTTTAAACATTTACAAATGTCATTGAAGGTATAACACGAAAAGAGGAGACCACCCCTGATCCTCATATTCCATCAGCGGTACAGCCCACATCATCATGGACCAACGCATTTCCGGAAGTTACTCCACATGATCATAGAGGACACAGTCATGGAGGACATACCGTAGGTGGCGCTGAGCATACCCCTTCTACTTCCGGTGCAATAATCGCCGGGGCGTTAACAGGCGGTATAGTTCTGGGATTGGTTCTTTCCGTGGCAGTGATATTATGGTGCAATAACAGACGAGACAAGTAAGTGAGATGAAGGAATGCACATAAATCAATTATAATTGTTCAAAAGTAAATTGAGACGAATGTTAAATTGTTAATAAAAGGAATGCCGAAATCATCCAAACCAACCAATTTTGTAAACTCTAATCTACAGAACATAAATATTATAAAAGTGTACAGTATATATCTGAGAATACATATTTTAAGAATATGATTGGTTTGTTCAAGTAACAAGTCTAAAAGGGGCATAATAATATGTAAATACTCCCACACACGCATGCCTATATACATTTTCCGGATTTACAAGATAAACGTGTATTCAGTGAACGTTATTCAGAACCACGTCTTGACTTGCCTCTAACTTAAACCGCATCCAGCAAATTTTATGATTCCTTCAGCAGTAAAGAAAGCAAACCATTGTGTCGATAATTCTTTGAGATTTCCATAAAACTCTATTTTAAATTTTTTTTTGTTAATAATTTCAGGAATGGTTCGACTGGCTCGTCGGATAGTGCTGGCATTTTCTTTCAGAAGCGACCAAACATGATCCCTACGGAGAGACCACGTGCAGAAAACAACAACAAACCGTCTGTAACCAGACAAGAATCCACAATATATGCCGAAATAGATGAAGCCATGGTAAGTAATGACACACACACACACACACACAAAATAATAATAATAATAATAATAAAGAATAAATCGAAATTATTCATTAAATGATTTAATTCTCAAAGACAGTTTTTATGTGTGAGTTTTTTTAAACAAATTGAAATTGATGTGTCACTTTTGTGATTATTATAATTTTGCATATATTGCTGGTTTTCATTGGAAAATTAAGACGATTATAATTATCTATATACACGACCGCTCAAAATATGAATTATATTTTTCTTTCATTAAACCGTCATAATTATATCTTTATAACTAATAATTATTCTCTGTAACCAAAAGCATTTTCGAATTAAAAAACATTGAAAGAAATTTAAGCGGTCTTTTGTATTGTCATTCCTTTATATGCTTTTGAAGTATAATTTGAATTATAAACGTATATATATATCACACTTTTTGTAGGTTAATCCTGGATACAAACCTCCCGTTCCTGACACTCATATGGGTTACCTCAATCCTGTAAGCGACGGAGATCCAGATTCATACACACCACCGCCAACTTCCGGTCGGGCAGCCAATGCTCCAGCGGTCACCACTCGCGGTCAGCTCAGTTATGGACCAATACTGGCAGCTAATGGTGGACCTGGACAAAACAAACACCTGTTTTACGAAGAAGCAGAAGAAATAGTTTATTTCGGTAACTTATACATTTACAGTATCTCGTTACATACAATAATTACAAATATAATAATTATGTGGTTACATGACAAAAGCAAAGAAAAATATAACAAGAGGGCCATGATGGCCCTGAGGTCGCTCACCTGTATATAGCCCCCCCCCCAAAAAAAAAAAAAATGTTGCAGGGCCAATTTAACCCAAGGGCTTTTATTTGCACAAATCTTGGTAGACACCCATAAGAAGATGTTTCATGCTAAACATCTAAGCTCTAGCTCATTGGGCTTTTTTAAAGAAGATTTTTTTAAAGTTTTTACTATACACATATAGTTAAAAACAATGACACCCCTGGGGCCGGGCCAGTTTTGACCCCAGGGCTTTTATTGAACAAACTTTGTAGACACTTACTAGAAGATGTTTCATGCTAAATATCTAAACTCTAGCTATTTGGGTTTTTTCAAAGAAGATTTTAAGTTTTTGCTATACACATATAAAGAAAATCAATGACCCCCGGGGCGGGGCCAATTTTGACCCCAGGTCTTTTATTTGAACACACTTTGTAGACACTCACTAAAAGATGTTTCATGCTTAATATCTTAACTCTAGCTATTTGGGTTTTTTCAGAGAAGGTATTTTAACTTTTTGCTATACACATATAAGGAAAATCAATGACCCCCGGGGTGGTGCCAATTTTGACCCCAGGGCTTTTATTTGAAGAAACTTGGTAGACACCTATTAGAACATGTTTGATGGTAAATATCTTAGCCATAGCTCTTTGATTTCTTTAAAAGAAGATTTTTTAAGTTTTTACTATATGAATATAGGGAAAATCAATGACCCCCCCCCCCGGGGCGGGGCCAATTTTGACCCCAGGGCTTTTATTTGAACAAACTTGGTAGACACTTATTAGAACATGTTTCATGCTAAATATCTTAGCTCTAACTCTTTTGGATCTTTAAAAGAAGATTTTTTAAGTTTTTACTATATGCATATAGGGAAAATCAATGACCCCCCGGGGCGGGGCCAATTTTGACCCCAGGGCTTTAATTTGAACAAACTTGGTAGACACCTATTTAGAACATGTTTTCATGCCTCAATATCTTAGCCATAGCTCTTTTGAGTTCTTTAAAAGAGATTTTTTTAAGTTTTTTACTATATGCATATAGGGAAAATCAATGACCCCCCGGGCGGGGCCAATTTTTGACCCCAGGGCTTTTATTTGAACAAACTTGGTAGACACCCATTTAGAACATGTTTCATGCTAAATATCTTAGCTCTAGCTCTTTGGGTTCTTTAAAAGAAGATTTTTTAAGTTTTTACTATATGCATATAGGGAAAAATCAATGACCCCCCGGGGCGGGCCAATTTTTGACCCCCAGGACTTTTATTTGAACAAACTTGGTAAGACACTCACTAGAAAGATGTTTTCATGCCAAATATTCTAAGCTCTACCTCTTATGGTTTTTCGAAAAAGAAGATATTTAAAGTTTTTTCTTTCGGTTGCCATGGCAACCAGAGTTCTGCATGGAATTAAATTCTTTGAACAATTTGTAAAGGTGACCACCAAAGGAAACATTTCCTGTGAAGTTTGGATGAAATTGGCTTTTAGTGGTTTATGAGGAGATGTCATTTAAAGTAAAAGTTTACGGACGGACGGACGGACGACGGACGGACGACGGACGGACGGACGCCGGACGAAAAGCGATCACAAAAGCTCACCCTGTCACTTTGTGACAGGTGAGCTAATAAGAAGTAATATAAATTTTTTTTAACTGATGACATTTTAACGGAGAACAGACAGCTGCAAATAAAGGAACAAAGAACATCACAATGTCATTATCATTCATAGAAATAAAAAGTTCCAGTAAGAAGAAAAACAACAAAAACAGAAAAGACGTGACAATAACAGCGTCAAAAGTAAGGTATTACATGTATCTTTTTAACGATAATAAGGATAAAAAGTTGAACCAATTAACATTTCAAAATGTGATATTGAATTAACAACGGGTCAGTAACAATTCTTGTTCGCTTTTTATTAGCTACATCTATATATTTTTCCTAAATTTACATTGTACATCTTTATTATCTGATTGTTAGTAAATCTACTAATTTATACATAGAAGGTCTAATATAGTAATAACGCTTGATAAATCTTCTTCGAATATATTGATAACATGGACAAACTAAAATAAAATGATATTCATCTTCAATTTCTGGTAAGTTACATAATTGGCATAATCTTTCATTTCTTTGTGTTCTATTACGTCCGTATCTACCGGTTTCTTAAGTTATGAGCAGATATTCTAATTCTACAAATATTCATACGTATACCTTTACAATAAATATTTCTTAAATAAAGTTCCAAACAAAAGTCTTTTTTGATATAACTATACAAAGTGTTTAGTACGATATTGTTTTCTATGTCTGAATGCCATTTTTTGCCTAAAACAATCAATAACTCTTTGCTTAAATTCAGATAAAAAGAAACTACTTTTGATATTTATTGGGTTGTCCCACACATAAGAAAAGCCAAATTCATTTAATATGGATTTTACATTTTGAGCGCAATTATATTTACACCAGTTCAAACTATTGCTTACTGTATATCTATAAATTTCTTTCTATGATATATTATCCGTATTTGACAAGCTTAAGCCAAAATTTAATGATTTGTACGTATCTTTGATATGTTAAGGGGTATCTACCTAATTCGTCATACACTGCATTAGTTACTAGCACATTGTTTTACTCCTAATATTGATTTTCAAACCTTAAGGTGTTACCCTTTCTATATTCTTTAGATTTTAGTAAAACCCCAAACCGGACATGCATAATTAAGTAATTGAGCCAACAACGGCATTCAACTAATTGTAGTGAAACACGAGGATTTAAATGAAATTTCTGTCTATCTTATTCAATAAAATGGCTCATAGCTTTTAAACCTTTTCCCAACTAAGCACTGCGTATTTAAAACAAAAGAACCTGTATAATTAAAAACAACCTCTAGATAATTTAAAATCGTTAAACAACTTCAATGTGTTTTCCATTATTATACCATTTTTTCACTTAATTTGACCTAGTCCTCTTTTACGGAAGACAACAATTTTTTGGTTTTATCCGTATTGACCTCAAGTCCCCATTTATTGCAATAATCGCTACAAGGGTATTAAGCGATTTTTGTATGTTTTCTTGTGATCTGCCAAATTATCACCATATCATCGGCAAATAATAAAAACAATAATACATAATTCATAAATATTGAGACCACAATCCATTCGGTTTTGTTAAAATTAATCCTCTAAAAATAATGCGAAAAAGTGCCGGAGAATTATTTTTGTCCCTGCCTTAAACCTATCGATATATTGAAGAAGTCAGAAAATGTATTACAATGTTTTTTACACAAGATGTTTACAACTGAATACATAGCTTTATAATATATTTAAAATTTTTACCATCAAGCCCATCTTAAATAAGTTATACCATAGCGCGGTTTCTATACACAGAGTCAAACGCTTTTTTTAAGATCGACAAAAGCGCCACGCCCGAAATCTTTTATTTTTAGATAACAAATGATGTACTAAATTATGTAAAACAAAAATTGCATCCACAGTGCTGAGCCCTTTTCTAAAACCGAACTGGGCGTCTGATAACATATTATTATCATCAAACCATTTTTCTACCCTTGAAGTTAAAATACTAGTAAATAATTTACCAAAAATTACTGATTAATGTTATACCCCTGTAATTATTTGCATTTCTATTATGCCCCTTTTTATGCAAAGGTACAATAAAACCTTGTGTCCACAATTCTGGAAAATAACCTGCGTTAAAAACAATATTAAATAAATCTTTAATAAGCCCTACCAAGATATCAATAGTTTCAATAAAATATTCATTAAGTAAATTGTCACTTGGCGATGCAGATTTGTTACGATTTAAATTGCGAACAGCGGCACGAACTTCATCACAGGTAATCGGCATGTTCAATTCAACAAAAGTAGGGTTATTTGCATTAGTATTTCCGTCATCAATAAATGTTTCAACCTCGGGAATGATTGTTGTTTTTATTTCATTAAACATTTCAAAAAAATATTTTTCAAATGCTTTAGCAGATATATCGTCCCCTGTACGTCTATTTTGTTGTTTAAAATATTGCCAAAATTCTCTTGGTTCACGGGTTTTTAAACTAGTAAATTTTTGCGACTTCTTTAAATTAAATGCTCTTGTCTTTTTTCTCAAAATCATTTTATACGTCTTTTTAGAATCACATAAAGATAATCTGTTTAAACCTGACTTATCATTGTTAAAAATATACAACTTTTCTTTATATATGCGTTTCGCATCAGCGCATTCAGTATCGAACCAAGAGTTATCATACCTTTTTGCACTCTTACAATAAACATTTTTCTTAAAAAACAAATCAGCTGATTCACAAATCAAGTGAGAAAAATTTGATACTTAAATCATTTACAGTACTTATTTCTTGAACATTATTTACACTCATGATACTATTAAATTAATTCATTTTTCCCAACAATGACCTTCAAAACAACATTTTATGATCGTCATTCCATTTATTAATAAACGTAATGTTTTTATTGTAAACATCATAATCCGGTGGTTTATCGCCACATATCTTAAAACTCAATGATGCATGGTCACTAAACAAGTCAAACTGGTTAACAGTGAACGATTGAACGATATGAAAATCAATTTCTTTTAACAGTAAGTATCTATTGTACTGCATGATTGCTGACCATAATATGTATATTCACCGGTTACGCAATCATGTCCCAATCGTCCGTTGGCTAAACGTAAAGAGTTGGCTTTACAAAATTCTAACAGTTTTACGCCACGTGCATTGCATACAAGGTCACTTGAGGTTCTGCATAAGGTTTCTTCTGGGAAGTAGTCAATATCATCAATATTTTGTCACATCTGATAAAATCTGTTTTTTTACCCACACGACAGTTCCAATCCCCTTCCACAAGGACGCTACCTATCTGTTCATAATTAAAAACATCTTGCTCTAATAGGTTAAATAAATCAATATTGTTTACACTTGCAGCCGTAGAATCATCTCCCCACATATATACACCTGCCAAAATACATCTTTTGTAAAATTGAAAATATTTCCATGAATTTTCAGCCATATTATTGTATCAAAATGGTTTTTAATGATTGAAACACCTGATTTTATATTGTTTTATATATATCACAATACCCCTACTGTTACTTTTAGCCCTTTTATGCTTGAATTTTCTATAGAAATTATAACATGTAAAGTTGTCAGTATCAATGTTAGACTCACTATCCATCCAAGCTTCCGATAATATAACAATATCATTTTTACTAATTTTATCAATAAAATCTGGATCATTAAGTTTTCTTTCTGTTAAACCATTACAATTCCACACTAATATTTTGGGCCCATTCTCCGATGCATGTTTCATATTCCAAATTGATTGGTTTTCCATCGATAAATAATGTGTCATAAGAGATTCATGCATTATGGTTTTTTGCTCTCGCCTCACGAAGTTTAGGAATTAATCTCTTACGTTTTGCCACGACCTCAGGCGGGAACTGTTCATGCATAAAGAATTGTTTACCATCAAGTTTGAAGTGCTGCTTCCTTACAGTTTCTCTATCTTTGAAATACGCAAGTCTGCATACAATTTTCCTGTTGATTAATTTTGATGGATCAGTTGATTGGTACCCCATTCTGTGGGCTCTTTCTATCTTCACGGCATCTACTGTATCTTGTGCGAGTCCCAGCTTATTAACCAAATGCTCCCTTAGTTTGTTTTCAGTTTCTGTTGCTTTTTCATTCAGCGACTCAGATATTCCACCAAAAATGAGATTATTTCTCATAGACTGGGATCGTAGATAAGACAGGTCTTGTTTTATTTGGTCATTTTCTTTTTCCAATGATTCAAGTTTTGACAACTTCTCTACGTTAGAAATTTCAACATGGCTTATGCGATCGTCAAACTTTAATAGCTTATCATCTGTATCCTTTTTTATATCATGTACATTTAACCATAATGATTTTAAATCTCTCTCAAATTTGTCAACTTTTGATTCTAAAACATCTAAAGTTTTCAGCTTAATGTCAATATTTTCCAATTTTGATTCAATTTGTATCAGATGCTTCATAATTTCAGAATTTGAAGGGATACACGCTTCGACTTCAATGACTGACACAAATGTTCATAATCGCGAAACTATTTTGTCACCCAGAAACTTACCCCCAGTAACCGGAAACGGAAGTGGATCCCCAGACGACAATTATTTGACTGCTGAGTCCATTGAATCTTCTCATGACGGCAGTTTGAACGATTACGAGGAACCAGTAAGTTCATACAACTCTATACGGTATACTGACCTAACAGATGGTTCCCCGCCCGAACACAATGCACCGGATGTTCCACCGGAAACAAATGTCAAAAGTGCTCCAAAAACTACTCCTAAGAAAAATTGGAATACAAGTTCTTCCTTCGAATCCATTTAAACCATTCGGCTCTTCTCAAGATTTACAATCATCTGACTCTACTCAACCTATTGCCAAACCTAGACGTAAGAAACCCGGAGTAGATAACGTATCGCAGAAAACAAGTCCACGTGCAGTGTCGGCTGCATCTGAGAAACAGGGTGAAATGGAACTTTTGAAGAGATCGGATGCAATGGCTTCCAACAGAGATTCAGCAATGTCTCAAGCACTAAATCAATCATCATTATTTCGTCCTGGAGCCTGATCACGACCACATGGACTATGAACATTCGGTCAGCTCCCCAAAACTAGTGTAGGTAAACTCAAGGAATACTACTTTTTATAAAAAATGAAAGAATGTCTGTTTTCCTGTTTTCGAATGTGACTTTTATCTTTTTGTAAAAGAACCCTTTTAATCAAACTGCTGGATTCGGTTTTGAGGAATATTTTCTCTATATAAAATATATATTTTATAGTTATATCATATTGTACAGCTACATGTTTTAGATTGTTCAAGACAATCCGCTGGCGAATGGTCAATTGTGAAACTTACTAATGGAAATAATCGTACTTTATGACAACGTTCTTCTTTCTATTAAAATTTAAACATATATTTTATTATGTGGTATAAAATTTTTGTTTATATGACACTTAAGAATTGTTATTTCAAATGTACATGTACATGTTTTAAGTAAATGATGAAAATACTACTTTGATGTCTTTAATCTCTGGAAATGACGAAAAGAAAATAAAATGTATGTTTGTATAAAAATTGGTTTATTTTCAAACACAATTGAACAATTTGTATGTACACGAATATCAAAATCTAAACATACGAGTGATATGTCATTCTTTTTGTATCAAGCCTGCAAAGGCCCATTAATTAAGCCTAAATAATGTTGTCATTTTAATTTAAAAACGAAACACTTCTTAAATATAAATAAAAAATAATAAAAAGATAAGACAATAGTATAAGTAATCCCATGGTATCATGGTTATTCTACACATTAATTAGTACTTTGCGTTTGAAAATACCAGCTACTTTCATGACATCGTATCGCGTAAATCAACATTTTCAAATCGACACATTTTTGCAGTCACATGGCATTTCCGCGTGTCCTGGTATATATATATATATATATATATATATATATATATTATATATATATATATATATATATAGATATAGTATAATTAACGAACACAATGTACCGGATGCTCTACCAGATCTAGACAAGTGTGCCGATATCAACCAAATGTTCACCGTTCACTAGCGGAAATAATATACCTATGAAACATGGGTGTTATACGTAACTTAACTAAAATTATTTACAATGCTTCTGTACATCACGTAAAACAACGAAAACTTCCGATGACGTAAGTGTATGATAGATTACAATTACGGAATTTGCCAGCCCTACCAAGCATTAGGTTGCTCATTGTAGGGGTTCTTGCAGAGTTTCTCAAACAAACAAAGAGGTTAACTTGACATCCGAAAAAATCTATCAATATATAACCATAACCCTTTTGATAATGCAGGGACATATTTCATTTTTCCATACCATAATTTCTTTTCACCTATTTGTTGTTATACCGAGAAAACAAAGCACCATAAATTTCATTTGTTGGACATATATGTTTAGATTTTGCATATAAATAATGTTCAAAGTTTCCATTTAACTATTTCTGCATTAAATTAAAAAAAAAACAAGGTTCATAAAGACAAAGTAAGATAAATACATAAAAGGCACTGTTGGAGAAACGTACATGTATGTGTCAGCTAGTATTCCATTAAAGTGTCAGGATTTTCATACAGGTGGGGTTCTACTCTCCAAGTCAGAGGAGCTCCTCCTGTATTCTTTCACATCCTGCTGCATTGCAGAGTTACTTTCTTGAAATGAAGGTTGTTCAACATTAGTATACATATGAAACGAGTCATAAAATGTTTCCGGCATCGGAGCAATGTTTCTATCCGGATTCCGGCCATACTCTGCCGTGTCGTATTCACTTACCTCGAAAGATGGCACGGCATAAATGTTTTCACTTCCGAAAACGTCGTTTGGCATAGCTTCAATATAAACATAATCTCCTGAAGAATCCGATCTAACATCTGTAAAACGCGGTCGACGAGTTAAAAAACTTTTCTGACTACTCAGCACCGTTTTCCCATCGTTTTTACCAGTTGACAATTTGGAGGTTAATGATTGGTTTATATGAAATGACGTAATCGCGTCATCGTCTTTTCGAATTAAAGCTAGCGGACTCAAAGGTTCTATGGCCACGATACTAGTTTCAGTGGTTGTTTTGGATTTGAGAGTATCCCTCGACGATATAATAGCACCCTCGTTAAAACTACTCTCGTAACACATGTTGAACTGTGAATTTGAGCTGACTCTGTCTCGACCAATAGCTGGCTTTTCTTTATCATACCGATATACAGCCTCCATCTGCAACGAAAACTACATAAGTAAGATAAAACAAATGGCAAGAACATCTGAACAACAACATTCTCTCTACCTTTATATAAATAATGCAAACGGTTTGAAACATATCTAATAAGACAATTGTAGAAGGTAGTCAGAGATGTAGTAAACTGATTCGTATTATAGTATCAGCATATAACTCGGGTCACATGTGCATTTGAACTGATGGAAACATTAATTTTTTTTAAAGTTCCCTAGAACAGCTTCATTATTTTTCGATCGCATGATATCTACCGATTTTATATCACCATAGTTATTGGTTGTTTTAATCCCCCCCCCCCGACACTGTTATGTTGACAGGTGCCACCCCTTATTTATCTTGTTTATGTGCAATTTCTGAAGAGCAATAAAAAGAAAACGAAAACATCCCGTTGTCTTTTTTATCTTTGCACTCGTGGAAAGCGTTAAGTTATAAATTGGCAGGAATATGTTCCAACCTTTTATTCTTAGGTCCATGCTTTATATAAATCTTAAATATCTAAATGAAATAAGTCAAGAGTTCATAGCAAAGAAGATGAAATGAGCCGCGTCATGACAAAACCAACATAATGGGTTTGCGACCAGCATAAATCCAGACCAGATCCGCGCAGTCTGATCAGGATCCATGCTGTTCGCTATCAGTTTCTCTACTTGTAATAGAATTGGTAAGCGAACAGCATGGATCCTGATGGTCGCAAACCCATTATGTTGGTTTTGTCATGACGCAGCTCAAAACATGGCGAAATACATACGAAAGCTTCGTCAAATTCAGCGTAAATCTCAGTATCGTCGTTCTCCGACCTAGCTTTTTTTTCTTGGAGACTGGAAAAACCACGTAAACAAACTTGGCTTCCCAGCTGGCTCCAGAGAGCCCCCAGAATCCGAGTTCCTGAAACATAAATAATACGTACATGAAAGAAGGAAGAAAGTTGGGAATATTTTGGCTTCATACTTTATATTTTAGTCGAAAACATTTGAACATTAAATGTTTTTAACAAATGACAAGGATGATTACAAACATCACTTAGATTGTTTTAGGTTCATAATAACAAAAAATATCTTTTATTGATAAAAAAAAGACCCTGCAGGTTCTGAAATATGATCTTTATTCATATAAATACAATTTACGTTAGATATTCCTCGCTTTACAAAGATTGTTTCACATTTAAACGATAAATGAAAATTTTTATAGACACGCCTGAACTTACTGTGACTGTCTCTTCTTGTGCAAGATAAACATGAAAAGACCGATTGCACACAGCAGCAAAATTCCTCCAACTGCTGAAAAGACAATAGCAATAGTATTATCACTTCCGGTCTCAATTTTAATTTTAGAAAAACCGGAAGTAGCGTTGTTGACAGAAGTTGTTGACGAAGTTGATGAATTTGTAAATATTGCAGTTGATCTTTCCGGTTCTAAAGTCCAGTCAGTTGATTTTTTCGTTGTCCAAGGATGTTTTGATGGCTTTGTTTTCTCCCCTGGTACTTAAATATAAGGGATAAATTCGTTTAAAATGTCATATTTTCATTCAAATAATAATAAAAACTACATTACCTACACTCAAAGATATATAGGATTAACATTACAAATAAAATAAATCAGAGAAAAACAGAAAAACGACAAACATTTGAATCTATTAATTAAATGCAAATCAATCAACCAATACAATTGCTTTTTGTACCCTAGTTGTTTTACATGCATATATCAATATTTTCAAAATGGCGGCTAAATATTTTCAAACTTTTAAAGTATTCGGGACCATTTATATTTTGTTTAAACAGAAAATAATGCATTTTGTTAATATCGTTTGGTGTTTATGTATTAAGAAGTCACTGCACGATGATTTCGTTGGTAGTGCAAATAGTCTAAACAAAATTTTTGGACCTTAAAAGTAAATGCTTGCAACGACCAACACACAACAAAGCCGGGTAGAAGTAAAGGAAAACAGACCCACACTACAGAGGACAAACAACTTAAATATATTTCAAAATATCACAATTTTAGCTAGTATACTTATTGCTATGGAACAGGTTGTTAAAATATTTGTAGTTGTATACATGCACTTCAAAATGATGATTGTGAAAATAGATTATGTCTTTGAACGTTAATTCGATTGTCAGAATATATTCACCGGCTGAATTAGATTCTACAGTTGTGACGTCATCGGTTGTTGTCTCGGTCTGTTCTGTCGCATCTGCTGTTACCAAAGTCGAACTCTCCACATTTGTGGTATTTTGTCGTGCAGTAGTTGTGGTAATAGTCGTCGTCGTGGTCGTGGATGATGATGACGTCGATGATGTGGATGCTATTCTAGTGGTGGTAGGCGTGGTTCTTGTAGTTATGGTTTTCTTTGTAGTAGAGGTAGTAGTAACAGGTCGTTATTATTCAAATGATTATCATAAAACAATCTTACAACCATTTCAATGGAAAACTCTATATACAGTATACATTATACGTGCACATCGATATCAATTGCTCCAGCAAAGTAGCTGCAATATCTTTAGGGTTCGAGCCCTAGCCGCGGCGATTGCTTCCAACAACACAACAGTTTGATGACAAAATGATGAAAATTGTGAAACAGAAACCACTTTATTTCTGTCTAAACATATTAACTAGAGTATGGTAAATTTATCACGTTTATTTGTATTTTGCATGACTTATTTCTTTCTCTTTTTATTATATACAAATGAAGTGTAGTGTCATTCTGGTAAATTCCGTAAAAAAACATAAGTAATGCATTTACACTGAACATTAAACATACATAGTCGATAAAAAATAGACATTGATAGCGCAAAAAACACGAGGACAACAATAAACGATCATTCTACATGGGTATGTTTGTGAAACGCGTTATCCACGTCCCAGATACATTAAAAGACAAAACATTCTTTGAAAATATATACAACGTTGAAAGAAAGATGAGGGACATGCAATGTTTAATATATTTAATATAGATGGAAAACCTTATCTGCACTATTAAAATGCGCTTATATTTTTCTAAATAATAATCAGGATATTGACCCTAAAGGAATTCCACTAAAGTCAAAAGGCACAACACAAAAAATTCGATTTCTTTTAAAGTGAAACACTTTAAATTGAAAAATATGCGTTCGATAATAAAAAATACACTAATGTCTTATAATCAAATGGTAAATCGATAAAACGTGCAAATATATGTCTGATTGGAGTGAAAAACGTTGTAACGCTGTTCATTTTTATGTTATTTTGAACAGCAAAAATGATCATTTTGGAAAAAAGTGGTGAGTGAATGATCTGAAGTTGCACACAAGTT